ATTAATGGTCTTAACTCATCCATAAAAAGACACAGGCTAACAGAATGGATTTGAAGACAGAACCCATTCTTCTGCTGCATACAAGAAACACACCTCAGCCTCAGAGACAGACATTACCTCAGAGTTAAGGGTTGGGAAAAGATTTTCCAATCAAATGGACCCAAGAAATAAGCAGGGGTAGTAATCCTAACATCTAACAAATTAGATTTTAACATAAAATCAATCAAAAGAGATGAAGGAGGCCATTACATACTCATCACAGGAGAAATCCACCAAGAAGAAGTTTCAATTCTGAACATCTATGCCCCAAATACAAAGGCATCCATGTTTGTAAAAGAAACATTACTAAAACACAAATCACATATAAACTGGGATTGACATGTGAAACAAGCTTGTTTTTAATTTAAGTAAAATAAAAACAAAAAGCAAAACAAAAAAACACATCCTGTAGTCAGGACAAATTGTAGGTGGAAGGTCTTGTATCTGTCTAGTTTGGTGTTCAAGTCCCTCCACTGAAGTCTTGCCTGATTATGAGATGGCTGGTTCAGGCTCTGTATCACCCATTGCTATGCATCTTACCTAGGGTCACCCTCATAGATTGCTGGAATTTTCCATTGTACTCGGTTTATAGCTTATCCCAGAGATGTACCCAGATTCCAATTGTTTCTCCCAGTACTCTCTCCCTCCATCCTCCCCCAACCTGATCCCTCGTCTTCCCATTCCTCCACATTGAGACCCCACCCTATCCATGGGTGATGTCTATTTTATTTCCTCTCCACAGTGAGATTCATGCATCCACCACTTGAGGCCTGCTTGTTACTTAACTTTTATAGGTATGTGAATTTTAGCATGGTTATCCTTCACTTCACAGCTGATAGCTACTTATTTTTTATTCCTTTTTTATTTAAGTTGGAAACAAGCTTGTTTCACATGTCAATCCCAGCTCCTTCTCACTCCCCTCATCCGCACCAGGACCTGCAGTTCCCCACCCAATCTCCACTCCAATCCCCAGGGAGGGTGAGGCCCTCCATTGTGGATCTCCAGAGTCTGAAATTTCATCCAGGGTAGGGTCTAGGCCCTCCTTCAATAGTTCAGGCCGAGAGAGCATCCTTTATTGTGGGATGGGCACTCAAAGTCTGTTTGTATGCCAGGGATAAATACTACCCAAGGCCCCATAGATTACCTAGGCCTCCTCACTGACACCCACATTCAGGGGGGTCTTGGTCAGTTCCATGCTTTCTACCATCAATCTGGGTCCAAGAGCTCCCCCTTGTTCAGGTCAACTGTTTCTGTGGGTTAAACCAGGCCAATCTTAACTCCTTTGCCCATCAGTTCTCCCTTTCTGACACTGGATTCCAGCAGTTCAGTTCAGTGTTTATCTGTGGGTGTCCGCCTCTCCGGTGGTTCTGCTCAGGGCACTGGAAGTTGGGCTTGCCTCACCTGTCTCATAGGTGGAGAATGGGACTTTGTGTTTTGCTCTTTTTTTTAATTCTTTTTTTTTCATTTTAATTTTAAATAGCTTGTTTTACATGTCAATCCCAGTTCCCTCTCCCTCCCCTCCTCCCGCACCCCTCCACCATCCCCCCATCCTCCCACCCTATTGCCAATTCCTTCCACATAGGGGATATCTAGAGTCTATCATTTCACTCAGGGTAGGGTCCAGGCACTCCCCTAAGAGTCCAGGCTGAGAGAGCATCCCTCTTTGTGTTATGGACACACGATGTCTGTTAGTATTCAAGGGATAAACACTGATCCACTGCTCAGGACCCCATAGGTTGCCCAGGCCTCCTCAGTGTTTTGCTCTTTTTAATAAAATTATTTATTTTTATGTAAATTAACATTTTGCCTCCATGTTTGTCTGTGCACCACTTATATGTCTGGTGCCTGAAGAGGTAAGACACCATGTTGGATTCTTGAAACTGGAGTTAATAGTGGTTGAAAGTTGCCATTGTGTGCTGTTCTGGAAGAACAGCCAGTGCTCTTACCTGGTGAGCCATCTCTTCAACCCCAAAGAAATTCTTTTAAAAAGTTAACAAGGAGCAACTGGTGGGGGATGTCCTTCTATATATATGTCTCTCTTATTGGTTGATGAATAAAACACTCTCTGGCCAATAGCCAATAGAGGCAGGATGATAGGCTGGAGCAGTAGATGAGGAGAATTCTGGAAAAGGTAGGCAGAGGGGTCATGTGGGTGACGCCATGTAGGGCACCAAAGGGGTAACAGGTCTGGGCATTCTCTGGTAGGCCAAGACCATGTGGAAAGACAGAGTTATAGAAATGGGTTAATAGTTAAGACAGAGCTGGTCAACGAGAAGCCCTAGATATTAGCCAGCAGTTTAATAATTACTATGCCTTTGTGCGTTCATGTGGGGCTGAGGCAGCAGTGGGTCCTGGCAGGACAAGAAGAAACTCTGCAACAAGCAACTATTTCAAAATTGGGCAAATATTACTTTCAGTTATATTTCCCTATAGCTAAACTACTAACTCTCAAAAGGCGGAGGAGAACACAATGAGTGAGAGGAGATTCAGGCATTACGCTGGCTTTGCCCTGTTACCTGGCAGAACTCTCTCAGGCAGTTCTCTGGTCAGCCCCAGAGTCCTGCACGCAGGTGCTAAGGACCCCTTTAAAAGACAGACGCTGCCCACTTACTCTCTCTTACCTACCTCTCTTATCTCACTCTCTTTCTCTTACCTCACTCTTCTCTTACTCACTGACTCTCTCTGTCGTGTCTGTCTCCCCCATTCGGTCTCCCTCTGCTATAATAAAGTATGGCTAACGTGCTCTCCATGACTTGTGCTGTATTGTGCCTGTCCTGGTTTCGTGCTCACTCTCGGGTTTCACCTTTTGCCCCCTTCTGACTTCCAAATTTCTAATTTCTAATCTTAAGCAAAATAACAGCAATGAGAACAAACAAGGATCAAACACCGCTTTCTCTTTGTTTCTGAAGCTTTAAGAAATCAGTTCTCCCATTGTGGGAGGATCTGGGGACGGAGAGGAAACGTAAAAGGTGATAAATGAGATGACTCAGTGGATAAAGGTGCTTACATCCAAATGTGCTGACCTGAGTTCAATCCCTGGAACTCCCATTGTGGGAAGAGAACTAATGTTTGGAAGATGTCCTCTGACCTCCACTAGTGCTCTGTGGCATGCACAGGTGCTCACACATACAACTAAGTAAACAACAGAAAGAAAGAAACAAAGTGTAAGATCAGGTGATTTAAAGGGGAGAGTAGCGGCTGAGACAGGGAGAGGAAAGCCTTTTTAGATGGGAACTTAGGAAAACACACCATGTGAGTGTGGCTGTGCGCGTGAGGTCAGAGGACCACCATGTCATCCTTGCCTTTCTCCTCGTTTGACCCAGAGTTTCCTTTGTTGTTTCTCACTGTATGCCGGGCAGCTGGTCTGCGAGCTTCTAGGGATTCTCCGTCTCCTTGTCCCATCTCATCACAGGAGTGCTGGGATTCCACATGCCTGGCTTTTATCTAGGCTCTGGGGGTCTGAACTGAGGTCCTTATGCTTGTGTGGATGTGACAAAATCTTTACCCACTGAGCTCTTTCTTTCGAATGCATCTATGAGTCTATTTAGATATGTATCTTTTAGGTCTATTTTGACTTAATTATGAAAATACATACCTTCTAGAGACATGAAAATCTTTTAAGGTATTAGGGCATAGCTCAGTGGAGAACTTGTGTAGGCATTTTGGGGGGATCGGGTGGGACAGGTATTCTGGCACTTGGTAGTCACAGAATACCGAGTGTTACACAGCTCAGATGGAAAGGTACCATGGAGCTCGGGAGCCAAGGAATACCACAGGCTGCAGTAAACTTAGCAGCTTACAGCCCTGCCTCAGGGAAAGGTTTCCCGGTGTATCAGCTCTGCTCCAGCAGGAGAGGGTCTTCCAACTGGGGATGTTTGCCCAGTGTAGCAGTTTTGCTCCAGCAAGAGAAGTTGCTACAGTTTAGCTCTGCTCCCGGGAGAGTGAAGAGCATTGTTTAACAACTCCGGTCTACTAGAAGGTTTCCCCAGCAGAAGTGTTACAGCCCTGCTCGCTCTACCTTGCCCAGGGTTGTCTCTGCTCTGGTGTAACAGGTCTTCACCCAAAGCTCATTGAAGGGGTTTATTGGGAGGGAAGAATCCAGGAGAGTGGCAGAGGACAGCTGGGTAGCACGAACAGCCACAAGCTGCACAGACACAGGGTTTACATAGGGCTTTCAGGGTGGGGATTGGTCAGATTTCAATGCTGAGCTCAGATTGGCTAGAGCTCCTGCTCGAGGATTGGTTAGTTTTCTGCACAAGGTTAGGGTCAGATTTGGCTTTGGTTTCAGGGCTAAAGTGTGTTTCTTTCTCTGGTCCTTTTTAGCCTTTTGGCTCTAATTTTAGGGCCAGGGTGTATTTCTTTCACTGATTCAGATTCCAGGGACAAAGTGTGTTTCTTTGGCACTGGTTTTAGGTCAGGGTGTATTTCTTTTGTTCTGGTTGCAGGACTAAAGTGTGTTTCTTTGGCTCTGCTCAGAGTGTGTTTCTTTGGCTGCTCCCTTTTCCCTATAACTTGTCTCAACCCTGGCTTTCAACCCCAGCATGTGAGAAAGTCACTAGAACAGACCCATTGCTGTCCGCGTGTATGTGAGCATACAGGGGTTCAGGGTGGGGGGCTGGTCCTAGCCTCCTCTGATGGATTCAGCAGTGACCCCAAGGCATTCACGTTGGTTCATTTCAGCTAACCACAGGAAGGGGTGCTCAGTGGCATGAGGACAAGGGGGTCCTGGGGACCTTGAGGGTCTAAGGGAGCAGCAGGAATCATAAGCAGGAAGTAAACAACTTTCTTTCCCTCTGGCTGCTCAGTGGGGCTGGGGCTCCCTCAGGGCTTGGGGCTGTCTGAGATAGGGCAGAGCCACAGCTGCAGTCCTGAGGATGACCTCTAAATCTCAGGAGAGGCCTGGATGGGAGTCAGATCCGGGAAGGGGGTGAGTAACTGGGTCCTGTGCTGTTGTTTTTCAGGGAGACCAAAATGCTGCTCGCTTCACCTTGGAATCCTTCCCCTCATAGTGGTTGCCTTGGTCTTCTTTGGGTAAGAATCCAGGCTGGTGAGGAACAGCTCATGAGATGGGGACCCTGAGCCACGAGCATCCCCACCACCATAGCAGTGACCAGGACACTCTTGGCCACACGCAGTGGCTCATCCTGCTGTTGCTTGTCCCCAGAGTGAAAAGCCTCACTTGTAAACCTCTCTTGAGTCCACAAAAGGGGTTTTGGGATTGGCCTTAGCAATGTGGTGGTCTAGGGAAGGAGAGGGAGACAGGTCTAGGGATTGGAGGCAGTCCTCTCTAGATACAGATGGTCCGTGACCCTCACAGAGCAAAGACACTGCCATGTCTGCTGGGGCTTCCATAAACACAGCCAGGAAACACTCCCTGGTGTGGTGTTGCGGTGCAGGTAACTGGCATTGAGAAGGGGCTGCCTGCAACTGCTACAGGTGTCCAGATGCAGGCCTTGTCCCCAGGTCCTTCCTGTTGCCACATCGTCTTCCAGTGGGGTGGGCATGCTTAGTCCTGTCACATGGCCCTGCATCCAACTGGGAACTTCTGTGCTCACTGTGCTGGATACAGTGGAGCATTCTGGAGGGAGGCACAGACAGCCAGACACAGGTCTGTGTCCTGAACAGCTGCCCCTGTGCCTGTCCTTCCCACAGCTATGGATTCGTGAGCCACAGAAGCCAGGAATTGGGAGACTCAGAAGCTGTGACGAGGTATGTGGTGTGTGTGTGTGTGTGTGTGTGTGTGTGTGTGTGTGTGTGTGTCTGTGTGTGTGTCTGTGTGTATGTGTCTGTGTATGGGTTACTGGCTGGATGAAATTTCTGCTGCATGTTGTCTCGTGGCCTCTGCCTGTCCTTCTACATGGATGGGTCATGTCCTACTCTAGGCTGCACAGAGCGGCCCCAGCTGCCCCCTGCTGTCTTTAGAGGGAGTGTGTTTTGGGAAACACTGTTGTGGTTTCTGACTTCAGCTTCATCCTCCCTTTTGTACCTACCTGGTCAGCCCAAGGACACTTTCTATTCCCCACCCCCCTCCCCAGCAGCCTGCTGAGTGCAAGGGCTTTTGCTTCAATATACAGACCCAGGTTAGAGGCCCCTCTGTAAAGAGAAGCCTTTTTCTTTGAGAGAAGCCTTCCCGCCAGCCTGGTTCTAGAGCCGCATCAGTCCCAAATGACACACAAGACGCTGTATTAATTATGAAGCTGTTGGCCTTGCTTGTTTCTTACTGGCTAGCTCTGACTTAAGTAATTACCCCAAAATTGTTAATCTAACTATTTCTCTTACCAGAGAATAGTTCCGGGCTTCCTACCCCATGGCGTTACATCTCGACTCTCTGTGTTTCTCCTTCCCAGAGTCCTCCTGGACTCCTAGTCCCACCTATCTAGATTCCTATTGGCCCAACAGCGCTTTATTGACATATACATAGGACTTCCCACATCACCCCTCCATCCCCACAGTCCCCAGATCCTGTCAGTCTGCCTTTGGGGAAGGCATCCCTTGGCTTTGCCTGCTTTCCTGGGCTTCCTGTGGTCTTGCACGAGCCCCAAGCTTGTCTGTCTGTCTCATCCCTGCTTTCCTCACAGTAGCTAATGATCCTTCAGCACAGAAGGTAGGGGGCTTCCTGAAACGGGGTCCTGCCTGCTGACCCTCTCCAGCAGCCTGCAGCTCCGCATTCCTGCACAAGCCATGCTTGCACTTGAGCGGGGCTGGCCTTGGTCTTCGTCTATGCTGTGCTTCCCACTAGGCTACACTGCCTCCCAGCTGCTCTTTGTTCCCACAGTTCCCTCTTGTGTCAGTTTTCCAGTGCTGCAAAGTGCTCTGTCCCATCCTCTTTTGTGTTGGGAGGCAGTCGCACAGTTGATGACTGTCTCTCAGGAGGTGCCTGGCGTCATATGCAGAGCTAGGTGGGTCTCCCCGGAGGTCTCAATTTCTGGTGGTTCAGGATGGCCCTCAGCTAAAGTGCCCATCCCTGGGGCCGATTGAACTTCCTTTCAGCCTGGTCTGATGGTTCTGGGCAGGTGATTTATGAAAATGTTAGTCCAGCCACTCAGAAGCTGGGTTTGAAGTCATCCAGGCACTGTTGCCTCAGTTTATCGGTTCAATAACAAGGAATAGACTCCACTTCTTGATGAGTGGGCACTGGGGCTTCTTCTGTGTTCTGGAACTCCTTTTTGCTCAGGTTCAACTCAGGAGCGGCTGATGAGTGTGAGTCAGAACCTTGACTACAGTGTTTGACATCTGAATCTATAGTATGACAGTGTTTGATTCTACGTAGTTTGCATAGTGCCTGGGGGGATCATTATGGGCTGTATTTTAACTGTCACAGACTCACTGTACCCTCAGGCACCACTCCCCTCCCTCCAGGCCCTGTACCTGACCCTTGAACTCTCCTGGTTTAAACCTGTCTTCTGTGTTGTCCTTCCGCAGAGTGGCTGTTGGAGAGCTGGATGTACAGGAAGTTGTAGCCCTGTCAAGGTATCCTGCCCTCTTGTGGTGCTCTCCAGCCATAGGCTGAGGGGTGTGGATGGAGGGGTATGTGTGTATGTGTAAGTATGAGCAGCTGGGAAGTCCCTTCCTGCACCAGAAGAGGAGAACACAGCCCTACACTCTGTGTTGACTACCTGCATGTCATTCGCTTTTAAAGAGCCAGGCTGGCTCATCTGGTACAGAGCTGAGTTTACAGCTGTGCACCCCATTCCCAGGGCAACATTCACAACACACGAGTTTACCATCCTCACCATTGCAAGAGTTCAGTGCAGTAAGCACGTTCATGCTGAGGTACAGCTATCCCCACCGTGCATCTCTAGATCATTCCATCTGGTAAACTATATCCACCAAACAGACTCCCTATTGCCCAGCCCTGTTGCAGGACCTCACCCCCATCTTGTCTGTTCTGTGTTGTTCCTCTGAGCCTGGCCACTCTGTAGTAGTGCCTCCTGGGGATGGGGTTCTGAAGGGCTTCTCTTATGTGACTGGCCAGACGTAGTCAATAAGGTGTCATCAAGCCTCTTCCCTGTGTAGAAATTTTCTGGTTTTTTTTTAAGGTTCATTCACTGCCTTAAAGAAAGATTCGTTTTTGTTTTATGAGTATGAGTGTTTTGCCTCCATGTAGCTCCAAATGACACTGTAACGATAAGTGACACACACTTACTGAAAGTAAAACTAAGCATTTATTGTAGAAATTACTCACAAGATACCAAACAAGTAACCCAGATGAGCCAAGTAGTTTTCTGCTGCCGAACCGGAAACCGAACTCTGGGAAAAGAGACCAAGACTTCCTGTGTGCTGTCTTTTATGCCTTCCCCTGTAACGCCCCCTAGCCATGCCCAAAAGTGGGCCTGGCTAGTGACGTAGTTCACCGCCTACGTACGTATACGTCTTTACGTCTGGCCGTATAAGTCTTTAGTCATGCCTAAAGTGGGTGTGGTAAACCGCCCTTTTATTACCTCATCTGTATGCGCCTCTAGTAAGTCACATGTTTAATGGCGGCATACAGACTTCCTCCTACACCTCCATGTATGTCTGTGCCCTACATTCATGCCTGTGCCCAAAGAGGCCATTAAAGAACTTTGGGTTCCCTGGGACTGGAGTTCCGGAAGGGTGTGGTCTCCATGTGTGTGCTGGGAACGGAATCCAGCTGTTCTGCAAGAGCAGTCAGTGCTCTCACTGCCGAGCATCTCTCCAGCCCTGCTCTCTGCTTTACAAGCCGTCACAGGGCATGCAGCTCCCGAGCAGAGATGGCTCCTGACCCTTGGGGACTGATCTTGGTGGGGAACTTAACACTGATGTTGGGGCTGGTCTCTGACCCAGACAGAGAGCCAGGACTCTGTGCGACTTCAGCCAGGAAAGGCCCAAGGCAGACTACAGGCCCAGGTTGACATTTAGACATCTACCAGGGACAGAAGTGTCCAGCCTTATGTGACTTGTGAATTAATGTAGTCCTTAGCTCTCCCAGCCATAAGTGGGGGGAGGGTGTCATGCTTTCCTCTCCCTACCTTAATGAAGTAAGACTGTGATCTTCCTGCTTTGGCCCATCCTTGACTCCCAGGATCATGGATAGACACAGCACCTGGTTGCCAGCACAAGTTCAGGTTTGTTTGCCTGGGCCATGGCTGCCAGTGACATGCTTCCCACTGTCCTTCCTGTCCCCTTGAGTTCTGATATTTTCTTTTTTGCAGGATTGTCTATACCCAGCCAAAGGCACTGACACCCAGGTGAGTAGATTTAGTCAGGACATGTGTAGAGCAGGAGTCATAAGGAACTCAAGGACGATTTGCTCACGGTGGGGAATAGTTCAGTAGGGCACTCGAGGCCCTGGGTCAGTCTGCAGCACTGGGAAAAACACAACTCAGAAAAAACCAAAGCTTGATTCTGGTTGTCACTGCCCTGACTCCTCCAAGCCTTTCAGAGTCTCAGGGTTGTCTGATTCAGATCTGGAGCCCAGAGCATCTTGCTTCCCATCTGGGCTTCTGCTCCTTTTTCCTGTCTCTGTCACCAGGGTTTCAGAGACGTGCTGGGCGCAGTGGTGTTAAACTCAGGGGCTTTCAGAGCTTGGTGGAGTGGGGTGGGCTTAGTCAGTGAGAGCTGATGCTGATTGACTCAGGCCCCACTCTGGGATGGTGGGCGGCCCTGGGGGAAGCTGAGGGTGTGGAATCTGAGAAGGTTCCTGCAGCATGTTTGGTCACGTGTTGCCTGTGGCTCTCTCCCCATGTAGCAGGAAAGACGTTCTTGTCTTGACTCCTTGGCTGGCTCCCATCATCTGGGAAGGGACCTTCAACATCGACATTCTGAACGAGCAGTTCAGGCTTCAGAACACCACAGTTGGACTGACCGTGTTTGCCATCAAAAAGTAAGCAGTGCATACTGCAGAGATGGCTAGTGGGTAAAGCACCTTCTTCAGGGGCATCAGGACCTGATTTGTTCCTAACCTCCATGTAAAGACTGGGCATGGTGGCTCATGCCGGCAATCCCAGGACTGTGGGTGGAGGAGAGACAAGTGGATCCAGGCAGGTTTCTGACAGCTCAGCCAAACAGCGAGCTTCAGAGTCAGAGAAGGGACCCTGTCCAGAGGACAAAAAAGGTGAGTAACACAAGAAGACACCCAAAGTCAACAGAAAGAGCCCTGCCAGGTGTGGTAGGTGCTTGGTGGGAAGAAGCCTCTGAGGGACCAACTGGGACCCCATAGTCCTGTTTGCACAGGGAACACAGGCACTTGCCTCTTTCTGACATTGAAGTGCAGAGGCTTGGCACCCTGGCCAGGTGATGGGGATCCCTGTTCCCATGGTGGGAGCAGGTGGCAGTCATCCAGGGAGGAGTAGTCATCTGAAGCAGGTGAAAACTTCTTGGGCTGGGAGATGACATGGAACCTGGGTTAGAAGCTGTGGTGGTTTGAGAGAAAATGGCCCCCAAAGTGAGTGACACTATTAGCAGGTGTGGCTTTGTTGGAGTGGTTACAGCCTTTTTTGAGGAAGTGTGCCACTGTGGGGGCAGGTTTTGAAGTTTCCTACGCTCAGGATAATGCCCAGTGTCTCCTGTTGCCTGCAAGATGCAGGACTCTCAGCTCCAGTACCGCATGTGCCTGTCATGTTTCCCACCATGATGATAATGGACCGAACCTCTGAAACTGTAAGCTGCCACCTCAATTAAATATTTTCCTTTATAAGAGTTGCTGTGGTCCAATGGGGAAACCCACAGAAATATCTCATCTGAGTAAGTGGGAGCTCACTGACTCTAGACTGACAGCTGAAAAACCTGCAAAGCTGTGGGGAGTGGAATCTCTCGGGGTGGAGCCATCATTATTTGGGACAGTCATAGACACATGGAGAGGTGGCCTGCTGAGGGGAGTGTCAAGATAAGAGGTATCTTCAGGGCATCTGCCTGGATCCCCAGGTCTGGAGTCATCCCTGCTGCCTGGCTGAAAGCTTCCAGGGCTCTAACTCAGCATTCCTTGCTAAGATGTGGTGCTGATGTTGCACCCTTCTGCAGCAAAGGATGGTGAGGTGAGTACAGCCTGCAGACTGGTCAGGACAGTTGTAGAGTGGGGATGCTGCTGCTTCAAGCCTCTGGGTAGCCATGGTTTCTGCATCTGGGCCTCTGCCCTCGTTAGTCTTGACCTAATTGTGTTAAACTTCTCCATACCAATTTTACCTCCCTCACAGGTACGTGGTGTTTCTGAAGCTGTTCCTGGAGACCGCAGAGCAGCAGTTCATGGTGGGACACAAGGTCATCTACTATGTCTTCACTGACCGTCCAGCCGATGTGCCTCAGGTGCCCCTGGGAGCAGGACGGAAGCTGGTGGTGCTAACTGTGCGCAACTACACCCGCTGGCAGGATGTGTCCATGCACAGGATGGAAATGATCAGCCGCCTCTCAGAGCAGCGCTTTCTGCATGAGGTGGACTACCTGGTGTGTGCAGACGTGGACATGAAGTTCAGTGACCACGTGGGAGTGGAGATTCTCTCAGCACTCTTCGGTACCCTGCATCCTGGCTTCTACAGTAGAAGCCGAGAGGCCTTTACCTATGAGCGCCGGCCGAAGTCCCAGGCCTACATCCCCCGGGATGAGGGTGACTTTTATTATGCAGGGGGCTTCTTTGGGGGTTCAGTGGTGGAGGTGTACCGTCTCACCAAGGCCTGTCATCAGGCTATGATGGAGGACAAGGCCAATGGCATTGAGGCCGTGTGGCATGATGAGAGCTATCTGAACAAGTACCTTCTATACCACAAGCCAACAAAGGTATTGTCCCCAGAGTACGTGTGGGACCAGCAGCTGCTGGGCTGGCCCTCCATCATGAAGAAGCTGAGATACGTGGCTGTACCCAAGAACCATCAGGCAATCAGGAACTGATAGTTAAATTCCTGTTGGAGAGCACAGGTCCTGGAGGCTGTGTAAATTGGAAGGACTTGAGAGACATTTATGAAGTGTCCCCCTCTACCGCGCATGAGATGCCAGCAGACCCAGTACCACCTGTCTTACGACACACTAAATCCCTGGACTGGTAACCACCTTCAGCTCCTAATGTGTCCTTATGCTCCGTCTACTCAGTAAGATGGTACCAGGAGCCTCCAGAACATAGGAGTATCTATGTTGTGCAGTTACATGAGGGCCTGAACATCCTTACTCCTTTTGTTTCTTCGCCTGCTGGAGATGGCCAATGCCCTTTGGAATGGGTAGGAGGGCAGGGAGAATCACAGCCTGCAGGCCTCAGAGGTGCTTAGCTCCTGTTCAGCTCAGCTGGCAGATCAGCATCCCACGACCATCGCCTCTGCTCGTTTCTGGTTCATTTGGGAATAGCTAGTTATCCATCCTGGGAAAAATGTATGTCTGGATGATACAGGAAGTTTAAATTTTTTCTTTTCTTTTTTTGAGATACTTTGGATTGAAACCATGGCCTCATGGATATTTGTCAGACATGCTGTCACTGAATTCCAGGTTCTCTCCTAGAGATACATGATGAAACTCGCTTAGTGTTAGAGATATTTCATTGTTTGTATACTCCAGTTTTCATTTGAATTTGAAATTTAAAGAGACTGTTATCAGACTCAGTTCCAGTCTCAGATTTTGTAATTTTTTGGGGGTGGTTCTGGTGAGTGTTGTTGCCTTTTTAATGAGGCAGAATCTCTAATAGCTCCAGGTGGTTTCAGCCTAACTATGTGGACAAGGATGGCCTTGTACTCCCGACCCGCCTGCCCCTACTGCCAGAGGGCTGGAAGTGTAAGTCTGCCACCATACGTACCTCTGATGTTCTTAATTTTCTTTTTTTACTTAAAGAGATTTATTTTTCATGTTACATACCAACCCCAACTCCCCCTCCCTGCCTCTCTCAAGCCCCCACCCCCTCTCCCTTCCCATCCTCCATGCACTCCTCAGAGGGGGTAAGTCTTTCCCTAGAGAGTCAAGAAACTATGGCATACCAAGTTGAGGCAGGATGAAGCCCCTCCCATCTGTATCAAGACTGAGCAAGGTATCCCACCATAAGGAGTAGGCTCTAAAAAGCGAGTTCATACCTGGGATAGGTCCTTGTCTCATTGCCTGGTGTCCCCCAGTAGATCAGGTTAATTGACTGTAACCCACTTTCAGAGGGTCTAGTTCTATCCATGCAGGTTTCCCAGCTCCCAGTCCATCTGTGAGCTCCCTTTAGCTCGGGCCTGCTGTCTCTGTGGCTTTCCCAATGGTGGTCTTGATCCTCCTTTTCATGTGATGCCTCCTCCCTCTCTTCAACTGAACTTCACGAGATCAGCCCAGGGCTTGGCTGTGGGTCACTGCATCTGCACTGGGTGTAGGTCCTTCTTCTTATTCTTCGATGTAGGTTCTATAATGACAATTCGGGCAGTCACTAACCCTGATTGAAGGGAATGTCCATTTAGACACCCTCTCCACTATTGCTGGCTGGGTCATCCTTGTGGATTCCTTAGCATTTCTCTAGCACTAGGTTTCTCTCTAACTCCAAAATGTCTCCCTCTATCAAGCTATCTCTTTCATTGCTTTGCCCCCTGCCTGTTCTGTGACTTGGTCTTCTCGGTCCCTCATGTTCTTAAAACCCCAGTGATCTTGTTCCAAAATGGTTTCTGAGCCTTGAACTCCTGTGTGTTCATGGATGGTTTTCCATTTCTCACATTGCAAGCATTTTTTTGTTTTTCTGTGACAGGATCGCTGTCTTTCCTGGAATGAGCTGCTAGAACAGGGTGGCCTGAGACTCAGGGATATCCACCCCCTTCTGCCTTTCATAACACCTAGATAGAAATTTTTCCTCTACAAAGGTGGATAAATCACCATTGGCCAACATTGAATAAGCCTCCCACATCTTGACACTCTTCTTATGTGCTGTCTGACACTCCTGAGACTTGACTTCCTATCCCAGCCTTCCCTTTGTCAACAATTATCCGTTAGCCAATCATATCAATTCTGAGGTCTGGATCTCACCAATGGGATAAGCCCGAGTCATGACCTATGTGACCACAAAAACAAGTCAACTTCCTGCCTGGTGTGCTTGCTCACCCTGTTTGTGTGGTGGGATATGCTTTTTCAAAAAGGGATTGCTTTGATAGGTTGATTTCGACTCTGTGTGTTTGTAAGGCACTGAGAATATTCTCCAACAACAGGAAAACTAGAGCATGGTGTCTTGCCTTCTCTTCTGTTGTTGGTAAATTTCCCCAATTCTGTGCACTTTCTCAAGGATATCCAAAATGATAAGATACAGGGTGCAGTGTACCTTGAGGCCAGGAGAGTCATTTAACCTCAGAGACTATGGTAGGTAAGAAAGGGAGATGGGGATTTCAGTCAACCCAGAAAATCAAGGAAGCCAACTTTATGGCAGGGAGGTCATGCACTGCCGGGAAGTGAGAGAGGAGGCTGGAGGCCATGGGGGAGGTGTGAAGGAAAGGCACCTTGGGTGTATCCCCTTGAGGCTGGGGAGATTTGCCTCTTGATGTCTGAAGTCTTTAATTTCTGGGTGTCTGTCATTTTCCTGACTCAGGACACCTAAGGACCAGCTCAGCTGTTTCCTCCCCATGTAGCAACAGGGAGCCCAAGGGAGGGGAGTGAGAGAGGATTGGGGGAGAGCATGATCTGTAGGAGAGCAGGTGGTGCTCAAAGAACTATCTCAGCCTCACCATGTAGTCCTGGTGCAGCATCTGCTAGTCCCCGTAGACTACCGGGAAACTTGGCCTGCTAGCATCTGTAGACTGCAGGGAAACCTGGTCTGCTTAGCCCTGGCTCAGATCTAATGCTTCGTGCATAAGAAATTCTGAAGCTCTCAGTGTGCTTTTCTGCTGGTGCTGGCACATTGTTCATACAAGGGCAACTCAGGTGAATGTTTCTCTTTAATTAAACACGAATCCAGCCTTACTCATGGGGGATACTTTTCGTCAGCCCTGGCAGGAAATCAGAGCCTGGTGACCAACCTATCTCCAAGCCCCAGGCTCCTGTTGGTAGCCAAACTGTGGAGGTTTTGGGGACACACAGTGGCCCAATCTTTCAGTTTCCATAGCCAGTGGCCCCGGCCATGATGGTCACTTTGCTCAACCCTGAGGGCCATGCTGGATGAGTGTGTTCTCTGGATTCCTGGGGGATGTTTTTATGCTGTTTATCTAAAGTGCTGACAAGTTAGTCTGTGTCCTGCTGGGATGCCAGTGCTCACAGATGGCTTTGAACTTGTGTCTGTCTGGAGCCTTCTTTCCTCAGGGCACTTCTCATGGGGCTGTTTGGACTTTCATGAAAGGAAGGTGGAACTTTCAGAGCCATTTGCTGTTGTCCTGCTATGGGGTCTGTGGAACACGACAGTGGCATGGACAAGGGAGCTTGGGTAGGTCTCTGCTGACGGTGTCTTTGTGGGCACCGTGTGGGTGCTCAGCCTCTGTTCTTTCCTGTTGGGTCCAGGAAGGAGCTTCACCCAAGGGCACGCTGCCAATCTTGGCTGTTGTGTCTTGGATCTTACCTCCTTGCTGAGGTTTCTTGCTTTATTATGAGACCCCCCCAGCCCAGGATCTTGTTCTGGTTTCTGCTCTGCCCTTATCCAAAGGCTGATTCCACCGCACCATGTGCTAAGGGCCAGCTCTGATCCTGTCCCTTCAGGATGCCTGTGTCTATCCTCTCAGGCCCTGAAGACCCCTGTCTCTATTGGGTTCCTGTCCTTCAACTCTCCCACCCACTGTTCTGGATCCTTTCCTTGGTCCCCAGTTCAGAAGGACACTTTCTCATGCTCCAGCATTCACTGATGACTTCCCTCTGCCACCACCTCCAAACAGCTCACCCATGCTGCCAGCCTGGCCCAGCTCAGCCCCACGCTTCCAGCATGTTCTGTGCCAGTGTCATGTTCGCCTGGGTGGTCAACTGTGGCTTCCTGGCTGTGCCGTGTCTACCCTGACCCCTGCAGGAATTCTTCTCCCAGTGGCCAGAGTTGTTCCTTGAGTTGCTTCTTTGCTGGATCCTTGAAGACCCCCCACAGCCTCCAGAGGCTTCTCTGTGTCCTGTTCAACTCCTCTCTGGCTTCATTTCCACTCAGGGTTGGGATATTTGGTGCTGGAAGCTGAGCGTTGGGAGTCTTCAAGGGAACGGGTAAAGTAAGGTACAGATCTGAATATTAAGATGGAGACAGTCCACTGCTCCTTCCTGTTGGGAGCTTCCTGGTGCCTTCCTCTTCCCTGTTTCTGAAAACTCCTAAGCTGCCAGCTCCATTTTAAGAAGAACCAGCATGTCTCCACAATCCATGCTTTGGGTTCCTTGTCCATTCCACGGTCCTGTTCCTGAGATACCTCCTGGCTTTTTGCTGTGTCCTGCCTCCTTCCCTCAGTCTCTTTCATAGGTCTACCCCAGAGATGCCTTTATCCAAACTTAGCAAACAACAAAATCAGAAAGGAAAAGCAGGACATAACAACATACACTGAGGAAATCCAGGGAATCATTAGGCCATATTTTGAAAACCAGTACTACACACAATTTGAAAAATCTAAAGGAAATGGACAATTTTCTGGCTAGATATCACTTGCCAAAATTAAATTAAAAACAGATAAGCAATTTAAATAGACCTATAACCTCTAAGGAACTAGAAACAGTCTCCCAACTAAAAAAAGCCCAGGGCCAGATGGCCTCAGTGCAGAATTCTACCAGAAATTCAAAGAACAGTTTATACCAATTCTTCTCAAAATGTTCAACACGATAGAAGCAGAAGAGTCTTTGCCAAACTCTTTCTATGAGTCTTCAATCACCCTGATACCCAAGACACACAAAGATACAACTAAGAAAGAAAGCTTAAGACCAATATCCCTCATGAACATTTATGCTAAAATACTCAATAAAATACTGGCAAATCAGATCCAAGAACACATCAGAAAACTTATCCACCATGATCAAGTAGGCTTCATCACAGGCATGTAGGGATGGTTCAACATACAAAAATCCATCAATGTAATCCACCATATAAACAAGCTGAAAAACAAAAATCACATGATCATCTCACTAGATACATAAAAAGCCTTTGACAAAAATCCAACATCCCTTCATGCTAAAGGTCTTGGAGAGATCTGGGATAACAGAAAGTTACCTCAACATAATGAAAGCTATATAGAGCAAACCAACAGCCAATATCAAACTAAATGGACAGAAACTCAACACAATTCCTCTAAGATCAGGAACAGGACAAGGCTGTCCACTCTCTTCATAACTCTTCAATATTGTCCTTGAAGTTCTAGCTGGAGCAATAAGACAAGAAAAGGAGATCAAGGGGATAAATACTGGAAAGGAAGAGGTCAAACGTTCACTATTTGCAGATGATACGACAGTTTACATAAGTGATCCAAAAAATGTCCACCAGGGAACTCCTGTCGCTAATAAATACTTTCAGCAAAGTGGCAGAATACAAGGTCAACTCAAGAAAATCAGTAGCCCTACTATATACAGACGATAAAAGGGCTGAGAAAGAAATCAGAGAAACATCACCCTTTACAATAGCCACAAACAACATAAAATACCTTGGGGGTAACACTAACAAAACAAGTGAAAGACCTGTATATCAAGAACTTTGAGTCTTTAAAGAAAGAAATTAAAG